ATTGAGGGGCAGTATTTCAATATGAGTATGAAAATTACCCCTAAACATTTTTTAAAAAGAAAAAAGCACTGGTTATGAGTAGGAAGAGGAGCATAGTGTCAGTTCTGATGGCAATCTGTTTTCAGCAACATCCCAGCAGCAAATGTAAAGTTTGCGCCAAACCTGAGCTTTATATCTATCAAAGATGTGATCTAACTCAGCTGTGTTTCATCTCCAAGCTTGTACCCTTAAACTTCTAGATGACAAATGACTTTGCACTAATATTGAACAATGCCTATCAATGCTGGTTTTAAATTTTTTTTAAAAAAATTATTTATATGCTGCTTTTCTGGGCAGTCCAGGTGGCCTACAAAACAAGAAAAAATGTAATATATCTTATATGACTCCAATAAAAAAATATAGCATATTCACAAAGTTAAAACAAATTCCACCCTCCATCTGGCGAGTAGGACAAACATTTCCTGAAGGAAGGCCAGTTGAGACAAATGAGGTCACATACATACCACACATTTAAAGCCTTCTGATACCACTTGTAACAGTCATGACCTCCCTCAAAGAATTCTGGGAAATGTAGTTTGTTAAAGCTGCTGGCCCCACAGACCAACAATTCCTAGCACCTGTACCAAATTGCAGTCCCCAAATTCTCCATGACTGTTAAAGTGGTATAAGAGTGAGTTTAATGTACGGTGTGCATGCAACTAGAGTCTTCTAGGCGTCCCAAAAGCCTGAAATATAACCACTCAGCCCAGCTGTACAGGAAATTCCAAAGGAGTGGAGCCACCACAGAAAAGATCCTCTCTCTTGTGGTCACCCACTTGACCGATGTAGGAGGTCGTGGACCTCCAACTGAGATCTAAGTAGGCAAGATGGTAAAGTGCACATGGTCCTTCAGACAGCTTGGATCCGAACCACTTAGGGCTTGAAAACAGCATTTTAAATGGCTTGCACAAAACCAAACTTCCCTTGTCAGCACAGTCTCCTAGGATGAAAAAATGTGGTTCAGGCTAGTTGTCTGTGTTACACCTTGGATACTAGGTGCAACCATTTCCTGACCAGCCGGTCCCACCCACTTGTGCTAAAGGAAGCAAGGTTCCAGGAAGTAACAGAAAGCAATGCAGAATGTCTTCAGCTTCTCCCAGGTGTGATGGCAATGTCTTTTAGCTTCTGTCTAGAAGATGCTGCTGTTCATTGGATACCGCAGAAACACTTTGGTAATCGCTGAATGGGCTAAAGTAGTGTCAAAGGGATACCTTTCCAAAATAACTGCTTGACCCCGGAACTCTTTGTGAACAGTGAATATGCTCATCACTAGCGGCGAAGTAGTTCAAAGAAGTATTTTAACAAAGGACCTTATTATATCGTTCGTGAAATGAGCTGAGGCAGCAGTATCAGCTAATAATGAAGATGAGAAGATATATGCTGTTCTCAGAAGCAGCCGTCGTTTGGAACTCGATTTGAGATGAGCCTAATGAAGTAATTTTCCATTGCGGGATCTGGAGGAAACCAAAATGTAAAAACACGACACAATTTCAGTCAGCTTGAATGGGAACACAAATGATATACATGGGTTGCGTCTGAATTGTCCCTCTTCTCCTGCCTATATTTTCCTTGGGCTTCTCTAAATGAGCAATAAGGTGGCAGCTCCTCCTTAATTGAGACGGGTTGCAAATTACTGCACCAAACAGATGCTTTACAATGAGATTTCAAGGCATTCAAAATGGAGGAAAATAGCATTCATATGCAAGCATTATTGGAATGTTGATTTTAACTATAGTTCTTTTTTTTAAAAGTGCTAATAGAGTGCCTCAGGGTAGCTCATGTTTTGCCCTCCAGATGTTCTTGGCTCTAAATCCCATCAGCCCCAGTCAACATGACCAATGGTCAGGGATGATGGGAACTGTAGTCCAACAACATCTGGAGGGCATCACACCTCTTGAGTAAGTAATGAGAGACAGAGGTCCCCTCTGGAATTTAACTGTGCAACACCATGCTCACAAGTTTCTGTACTGAAAAATGGGTTTTTCATTATTACAGAGTAAGACATGAACTAAGTTCAGTAAAGCTCATTCCAGCCCAATTTGATTTCCAGTAAAGCCATTTCTTCTTATTTCTCCGATTCTAGTTTCTTATACTTGTATCTTAAGGCCTAGGTATGTGTGATGATCCAATACTTTGGCCACCTCATGAGAAGAGAAGACTCCCTGGAAAAGACCCTGATGTTGGGAAAGATGGAGGGCACAAGGAGAAGGGGACGACAGAGGACGAGATGGTTGGACAGTGTTCTTGAAGCTACCAGCATGAGTTTGACCAAACTGCAGGAGGCAGTGGAAGACAGAAGTGCCTGGCGTGCTCTGGTCCATGGGGTCACGAAGAGTCGGACACGACTAAGCGACTAAACAACAACAACAATGTGTGATGACAGAAGGCCCGTGTGTTTAAACCCAACCGTGCCACAGCAATGTAGAAAGGAAAGGGTGATTTAAGGAGTAAAAGGGAAATAGTGGTGAAAAGGGCAGAACCTCTCCTATCACCCCTATTGCTCATATTGCCGCAGTCTGTCCTCCACCATCACTTTTCTTTACCCAGGTCCCAATCCAAGAACAGGGAGGGGGAAAAGATTTGGGGTGAGGAGCTGCTGAAGAAAAGGGGTGTGTTTTAAACTCTTCCCCTGTGTCCCTGTTTTGCTCCTTAAAATCCGTCCTCTCCCCATCCCTTGTTGCAGGTCCAGGTTTAAAACACACAGCTCTGCTGCCAACTTCTCTCACTTGGCCCTTAGTAAAGCTTGCTGGAGGAATTCAGTCTTGTTCTTCCCTCAGATATACCGTAATTAGACCCTGATTTAAAGCAAAGCAAATCACTTTGTGTTTTATACAAGTATGCTTCATTTGCATAGCCCCTTTCTAATGGTGTCTGAATTACAGAGAGAATGTTATACTACTGGAAGTATAAAATGCACTTGTATAAATTCTCTTTTATCTACGATTTTCTTCTTAATTTAAGCATCTGCTACATTACCACCATTCCTATATAAATATGGAGCTACAAAATTCACTGTAGGGAAGGGGGGATCCCAGAGATTTTAGTGTGGTACAGTAAAAATGTAGTTCAAGTGGCTATAATAAAATATAACAAATTAATATAATTGACTACTTCACTCTGGATTTTCTTTTCTTTTCTCTTTTTGGCTGCTAAGGTGGCTAGGTACAAAGGAGAACAGATATCCTAATTCTTTTAAATCATGCTTATATAGCAGATGGAATCTCAGCAAGCTTTCATGCAAAGCGTGTTCTCCTTCATAGAGAGCACGTGTTGTGGTGGGGCCACCCCTCTGTTGCTGGGCAGGTTAGTATGGATGACCATCCGCAGTGATTGGGTGGTTGGGTTACTGGGCAAATTTTGGTGTTGCTATTTAGGGGGACGGACCAAAGGTTATAAAATCAAGTCACGCAGCACTGACTGGGCTCTTTTGCTGTGTGCATCGGATCACCTGCCACCCTCCCTAATCTAGGGCTATTGCGTTGACCTTGCTATGCCTGTCATGGGGTCATCTGCTTTTGGAGCAGGGGCCTGGTAGGAATTTTGTCCATTTGGCTGATTGGCTGGTGCCATTTGGTTTTTGCCTACTGCCTAGCAAATCGTCACAACTTGTAAGGTTGCGGTTAGGCATTGGTTAAAAAATTGGTTGGTGGAGGAGTAAGGATTGGCGGTGCCTACCCCTCCAATGCTGCTGCTGCAAGGGTATTCCGTTAAAGGAATCCAGGGGCTCGCCATTCTTTCATCCGTACCCCTGAATGGGGCTTGGGCCACGCAAGCCCCTGGGAGCAGGTGGGGAGAGGTGAGTGTCTGGTGCTCGGCTCCATGCTCTCCCCAATATTGTTTTCCCTTACTGGCTTTTGCTGGAATCCGGAAATCAGTTCTATCCCTGTGTGGGGGGACAGATAGTCATAACCAATGCCTAAGCAACCACTCACATTTATGTATTTTAATAAAGTTGAGGCCAAAATTATGCCAAAAACCTTAAACAAAAATTATGTGTGAATTGTGAATTATTTAGGGGTGGCTTAGGGGACCTCGACACGCAAGCTGCAGCTGCTGACATTTCCTTTTCCACACCTTTGTTAAAGATTCAAGAGCCCTCCCCCTTTTATGCAACCAGACTTCCCTGGGCCACATCAACTGCTGGGTTGAAGAATTTAACAACAAGCAAACCACAACAAGAGTCCTGGGGCAAAATACACAAGCCACAAGATTTTGGAGACGTGCAAGTCTACATTCCAGCTACCACTAGTGACTTGACCCATAACTGTTCACCATACCACACAGATTACAGTTCTTAAATACTCAAATTGTGTGGGGAAATGTTAGAGACCACAATTAAATCTGTACACCTAATTCTTGATTGAACATCTCAATTTTAGCCCCCAATATGCAAGAACCCACTCAACACCATCTTCCTTTTTGGTGCCCAGCACATTCACACACAGGAAACCCCTTTTTGTGGTCATTCTTTACAATAACTCAGATCCTTTGGATTATGTTTGATCTACCCAGTGGGTGACACGGGTGGCGCTGTGGGTTAAACCACAGAGCCTAGGACTTGCCGATCAGAAGGTCGGCAGGTGAGCTCCCGTTGCTTGGTCCCTGCTGCTGCCAACCTAGCAGGTTCAAAGTGCAAGTAGATAAATAGGTACCACTCCAGCAGGAAGGTAAACAGTGTTTCTGTGCGCTGCTCTGGTTCGCCAGAAGCGGCTTAGTCATGCTGGCCACATGACTATACGCTGGCTCCCTCGGCCAATAAAGCAAGATGAGTGCCGCAACCCCAGAGTCGGCCACGACTGGACCTAATGGTCAGGGGTTCCTTTACCTTTTCCCAGCTTCCTAGCTGAAGTCCAGTCTATTAAAAAGGGTAAAGGACAATCCTCAGTTCCCACCAAGCTTTTGAGACAAAATTTTTAACCTGATAGCATACTTACTATTTAATGGAGTTCACTGAAGATAGGTCATCTGGCAACAGCAGAATCTGGAGATAAAAGCAACACAAGCAATTAATGCCTCTTGTCATTGTAGCTGACAGATCCCGCATGGAAGGTCCTTATGTTTTTTAACCAGTTCATTGAAGGCAGCTATCCAACAGGTCCAGCTTTTCTCACCTCGGTACTGATCTTTATCCCTTTAACCCCCACAAGTGAGCAGGCAACTGTAGTCTCATGACCAAAGAAGTCAGATCTGCCACTGAGCTCGAAAGGCAACAGAAACTTCCTTCCCCTATGAGAGCTGATATAGTTCATTCTGTCCAAGGCTTATAAAGTAGCAACTAAGATGTTTCTTACCACATCCCTGTTTGAGAGCTTGAGCAGAGCATTTAAGAGTCCCATAGTAGCACTGACACAACTGACATCCTTCTTGAATCCACTCCTCGTGCTTGATGGTGCCACAACTCCTAATAAATAAATCACAACACATTTTGTAAACTAGAGTTTGTGTGGAGATGCTTCTGTTCCCAAACCGATATCCATCTATATTATAAAATTACAAATTATATATTCTTTATTTATTCTAGAATAAGGTGCTGGTTTTGACCTTTAAAGCCCTAGGACCCTCGTACTTACAGGACCGCCTCTCCTGGTATGTCCCGCAGAGGTCCTTAAGGTCCATGAATAATAATAGCTTAAAGGTCCCGGGCCCTAAGGAAGCCAGACTATCCTCCACCAGGGCCAGGGCTTTTTCAGTGACGGCTCTGACCTGATGGAATGCTCTGTCCCACAAGACTAGGGCCCTGCAGGACTTGATCTCCTTCCGCAGGGCCTGTAAAACAGAGCTATTCCGCCTGGCCTTCAATTTGAATTAGCCTGATCCTCTTTTCCGTTTCCTCTTCTATGAAGAAACCCTTTCTGGGACCCCACATTTAAATTCTTCCCTGGTCTCCTTGCTGGCCCTAGTAGGACCAACTTGGCCAGTTAGCCCTGGTGATCATTTGATGTCTACTAACTGGGGTTTGTTTGGTTTTTTTTTCAAAATGACCCCTGGATTTTTGAATTTTATTGATATTGATGCTGCATTTTATGTTGTAGTCTATGCTGTTTTATGCTGTTTTTAAATCACATTTTAATCAATGTTTTATATTTGCTGTTAGCCACCGTGAGCCCTGTTTTTAAACTGGGAAGGGCAGGGTATAAATAAATGTATTATTCTTATTCTTATTAGAATACAGGAATAGGTATTTTTCTCTTCAAAGCACTTATTTGGGAAACTTTGGAACTGATGTACATCTTGCCCAAATAATTCATAGCCAGCCATTATTTTCCTGCCCACAGCATGGTAATGCCACATCAACTCTTAAAATGCCCCACGAAGGGAGATCTATATGATCTCTGCAGAATGACCTATGACTGCACTAACTGAAACTCTCCATGGGTGCTTCTAACCCTATCCTTTAAAACTTTAAGAATTCAGAGGCACCATCTGCCTTTACATACCTGATCCTTGTATCATATTCACAGTGTCGCCCAGTGAAGTGTTTGGGGCATATGCAAAAAGTTCCCAGGAAGCAAGTTCCTCCATTTTGACAGCACTGCCTGTTCACTTTGTTACCTGGTGTCAATGGACGGTGGAAAAAAAAGGAGAATGAAATTGGTTATTTAGGTCTCTGTTATCAGACTACCTCGTGTTGTTTAGTCGTGTCCGACTCTTCGTGACCCCCTGGACCAGAGCACGCCAGACACTCCTGTCTTCCACTGCCTCCCGCAGTTCGGTCAGACTCATGCTTGTAGCTTTGAGAACACTGTCCAACCACTGTCCAACCATCTCGTCCTCCGTTGCCCCCTTCTCCTTGTGCCCTCAATCTTTCCCAACATCAGGGTCTTTTCCAGGGAGTCTTATCTTCTCATGAGTATTGGAGCCTCAGCTTCAGGATCTGTCCTTCCAGTGAGCACTCAGGGCTGATTTCCTTCAGAATGGATAGGTTTGATCTTCTTGCAGTCCATGGGACTCTCAAGAATCTCCTCCAGCACCATAATTCAAAAGCATCAATTCTTCGGCAATCCTTATGGTCCAACTCTCACTTCCATACATCACTACTGGGAAAACCATAGCTTTAACTATACGGACCTTTGTCGGCAAGGTGACTAGCTCATATTGCTTCAAAATTTAATGCTGAACAGCTAAGTGCTGTAAAGAATCCACCACGTTTCCCATGAAGATTGGAGTTAAGCTAGGGTCTTTATTAAAAACAGGAGATGGATTGTGGACGCTGATTTTCAATCATTTTAGTTTGACTTCTGCATCATGGAATTAGCTCTCTTTGAAGTGATTGCTCTGTGCAAGACGCAAGCAATTTTTGTATTGTTTATAGCTTTATTCCATGTTAAACAAAAGGAAGGATTTCTAGGCAGGTGCATACTTAGACTAACAATGCATTAGAACTGTTAAGAAAGCAATTAAGGTTTTCAGTGTCAGACATTAAGTACAAGAAGCAAGTACAGTCATACCTCGGGTTACAGACACTTCAGGTTGCGTTTTTCCGGGTTACGGACCTGCTGAAATCCGGAAGTACCGGAAGGGGTTACTTCCGGGTTTCGGGGGTTGCGCATGCGCAGAAGCACTACATTGCGCTTTACACATGCGCAGAAGCGCCGAATCACAACCCACACGTGCGCAGATGTGCCACTGCAGGTTGCGAATGTGCATCCTGCACAGATCACGTTCGCAACCTGAGCGTCCACTGTACAAGAAGCTAGAGAGAGAGAAGCTCTTGCAGCAGCTGACAAAATATTTTAACAATAAAAATTGCGTTTAAGTCTCATTCCAGGGATAGAAATAATATGGTGCCAGGAATATTCAGGTGATGCTTTCTGCCTTTATTTTTCTTCCCTGGCATTGCCCTTTGACCTTCTGCTACAGTTTCCATTGGTCTCCGCAGAGCAAGTTTTCCCTGGGTGGCAGTTGCCAGGCAACAGCTCCCACTGCTGTTCTCTCAGGTGAGGCAGTGGTGCTCAATGGTTGGAGCTCATCATATATACCATTGTGGTAAGTGCTGACCCTAATTATAAGTGCTATCACAAATTAGACATGCAGATTCCAGCAATGTTTCTTCATGAGAAATATCTCTCTCTGTGCTAATGGGGGGCGGGGGGCGGAGGGTATTTAGCTGTTTATATGATGAGGATTACAAGATAATGCATGTGAATCACTTTGAATGTTTCAAAAGCACAACATACTTAAATGTTTATTTAGATGACTGGGAGCCAAAATGTTAAGCTTTGAGGAAATCTGGGTTCAAACCCCATTAGTTGATAAATTCTACCTCAGTGACTTGGGACATCTTTCTCAGGAAGTCCATAGAGTACTTTGAAAATTTAAAAGCCCAACTTACCATCTGCGGCCAAAGGAGCGTTGCTTTTCTTTTTCTCCGAATTAAGGTGATTTAAAACATTAAAGGTGTACAGAGGGATGTTCAGCTTCTCCTGGCTTGAATCCTTATCACAGTTTTCTCCTTCGCAGGCTTAAAAAGGAAGAAACGTGTCAAACTCACAGTAGGGGCTAATCTGTCATTTCTGCACATGCAACCACAAAGCAACAGTACACAAAGGTGACGTATTTGTATCAAGCCGCATAAAAAGATATATGCAGTATTTTATTCTTAAAACAGTTTTCTTGAAGCTTCATTTTCGTGGAATAGGGATGGGAAAATCAAAGGGGAAACCACCTTTGACAGAAAGAAGAGAAGTTGTGTTCTATAAAGTGCAAGTCAGCTAAACTATACTGGGAGTAAGCCCATTGATTTTAATAGGTCTACATTTAGAAGACACATACCCAAGAATTCTGGGAACTGCAGTATACACCCCTCAGAGCTACAATTCCCAGAAACCTTAACAAATTATGGTTAAGGGTAAAAGAGGCAGATTCGAAAAAAAATGGAAAAATCACAGGGTTGCAATTTAATTGGTCCGGATCAGAGATGATACTTATGATGAAGATGAAAAATGATTTTTTTTTTAAGGAAATAAAAATAGATATATAACTAAGAAATGTAATAAAGTACTTGCGAATAATTATAACAAGAAATTTAGAAAAATTAGAATTTTAACAAATTAAAGAGGGAAATGAAGGAAACGGAGGAATATAAGAACATTAAGCTTTCATGGTTTGGAAGAATAGCGATAATTAAAATGAAATTTTTGTCTAGAATAATTTTTATATATATAGAACTTTACCAATTAAGATACCTGAGACAGAGATAAAGGGTTAGCAAAGTATGCTCAAGAAATTTTGTAATGGGGATAAGAAATTAACAAAAGAAGATGGTAAAAAAGAAAACAAAAACAAATTATGGTTCACAGGATTCTTGGTGTGTGTGTGTGTGTGTGTGTGTGTGTGTGTGCTTTTAATGTACACAGCCTCACGTTGGATATCACCGATAATGGAACTTCTAAGAGAATACCATCATTTCTGGACTTTCTCAAAGTCTCTCAGTGTGAGGCAAATCACCTACAATACATATGTGTTACGCAGGGTGCTACTCAGTCCACCCCTTTGTATATCTTGGTATCAGGGACTAGACATCAGAAATACCTGCCTTTCAGGTATTCTGCACTCCAAGTTTATGGGAAGCTGCTAAGAGGAAAAGCACTTCATTTCTACAATATTAGTTATATACTAACCCTATTAACATCAAGAAAACACCTTCATGGTACACTTTTCGGTGCCTGCTAAAATATTATTCCTTAGATAAGATGCTTAGAAAGTTGAGGTAATTTTAATCTGTTTTAGTATTTTAACATTTGTACGTTTTAATGTATGGTTGTGAATATTTATTTTACTGTTTTATCTTTTGTAAACTGCTTTGAGGTCTTTTACAAACAAGCAGCATGTAAATTTTATGAAATAAATATAGTAATAATTTTTGAACGTGAATGATCTGCAGTGACATCTTTTGTTTGGTTTACATGAAAAATACACGAAGCAGATATTCTTAAGAGTTTCCTTACCGCCTCCAAACTGGATTACTTGAACTGAGAGAGCCGCAGTAATGAAAACCCTGAAACAGAGGGAAATTGCACAAACCAAAAGAATGATTTTAAAACGATGCTAGTCTAAATCTCATAGAAACTTAAAGCCATAATTAATACTCATGATAACATGCACAAGAACTATAGTTTGCCTAACATGACATGCAGGAAAATGAAAAACAAACCAGTCCTTAGATACAAAAGTTACTGAATACAATGTTAGCTACAAGAAATATAATTCTCAACTGTTTAGCAGCAGGTCTTGAATTACCAGGAGAAATCAACAGCAACAAAGTATGTATGAGATGTACTATATTACTTTACCTTAAAGCCTGCATTGTTTCAGCACTTCGCTCTTTCCAATGTTCACCAAATCTACCTGCTGGAAACAATGAAGAACTCTCCTACAGATGTCAATCAGAGCCTCAGAAGACAAATGAAAGCTGAATGAGGGGGTACAATTTATAGGAAGAAGCGAGCTTCAACAATTAACCCCTTCTTGTTTTCTCCGCCCATCGTGTCACCTGACTTCCATCAATTTAATATTTTGTCTGGGGGTGGGAGTGATGTATATTTATTTATAAAAAATACTTGTATACCCCATTTCATTTTTTTAAACAAATCAAAGCAGTTTACAACCACACACAAACAAATTTACATGCAATAAAAACATGTAAAAATTTAAAATCACAGGTCATCAGCTAACTATTACAGAAGAAATTTCCTTTATTGTCTTAATGTTCTTTCATTGGTCTTTGAGATAAAGAACCTCCACTTTCAGGTATAGATGATTTGAATTAATATCTATATGCAGCGCCTTTTCTATGCCTTTTTTCTTGATAGTGAAGATTTTTTACATATATTTTCTATGGTATTTAAATTTATTTCCTTGGTCTGCTTGACCAATGGGAAAGGCGAAGGAAGAGGAGAGCAGGGGTGTGGGAGAATGGTCTAAAACAATGAGTCCCCCCCCATTGATATTCTTCATATTATTTCAATGAGAAATTTATTGATACTACTCCTTCCACAGCCTCTTAAATCTCAACAGAGACAAATGCAAAGTTCTGCATGTAAGCCTACATAATGCAAATCAATAATAATAATAATAATAATAATAATTTATTATTTATACCCCGCCCATCTGGCTGGGTTTCCCCAGCCACTCTGGGCAGCTCCCAATGGAATATTAAAAACACAATCAAACATTTGCAACTTCCCTAAACAGGGTTGCCTTCAGATGTCTTCTCAAAGCCAGATAGTTGTTTATTTCCTTGACATCTGATGGGAGGGCATTCCACAAAGCGGGTGCCATTACTGAGAAGAATGAGAGGAAGAAGGATAGCTGACTTGACAGTAGTACACGTGAAAGGGATCTCTGGATAGATTGTGTCACATCAGCCCAGGATCCCCTTTATCTTTGAGCCTGAGCACACACATTGGAAGTCATCATGGGGAAGCTACTAAAAACGTCTTTCTTCGGTAGAGAATTCCTTATCTGGCTGGAACGCTGTGATGCCTCTCATGTGCAACTCCATCATGGCATTGCCATGCCCTATGTCCATGTTTCACGTGAGCTTCCACAAAAGTCTTCTTGGATAATCTACTGTCACTCTGACTTCATGCCATTTTAAAGCATGACTGTGAAAAGGCATACAAAGCCCTCTGGATATTCGGTAGTGTGGATGGGAAACCCGTGACCCTCCAAATATTGCTGGACTCCCAACTCCCATCAGCCCCCACCAACTTGTCCAATGGACAGGGATGATGGGAGTTGTAGACCAGCAACATTCTGAGGTCCACAGGCTATTTTGCTCTGGAGTATAATAGACATGCTATGAAATTTGGCCCATGCTTATTATACCTCAAAGTAATAGCCTACTCCAATCCCATTTTCTGCTGCTTATGGATGAAAAGAAAAGTAAGAAGATTGATGTCACAATGATCTTTATTATCCTTACATTTTAAACATATCGGTTGCTCATTATTATTGTTATTATTTGAGTCCCAATCAACTATGGCTGAAGCCCAGCAGTGAACTGGGTATCCTTAAATCCTCTGAAACTATTAACGAGTTTGTTGCTACATAGTAACATTTGATTGATTGAAACTAGTAATACAGCCATACCTCGGGTTGAAAGTGCTTCAGGTTGAGCGCTTTCGGGTTGCGCTCCGCGGCAACCCGGAAGTAATGGAGCGTGTTACTTCCGGGTTTCGCCGCTTGCTCATGCGCAGACGCTCAAAATGACATCACGTGCATGCGCGGAAGTTGCGAATTGCGACCCGCACACGTGCAGACACGCCGTCGCGTCTTACTTTCTATTCAGGATGCGAACGGGGCTCCAGAACGGATCCCGTTCGCATCCCGAGGTACCACTGTACACAGAACTCTGTGTGCTGGATTTAGGTCTTTGTCTTCAAGGTATTTGGCAAATGAATATTGTATAACTTTTTGTGGGGGACAGATAATGTAGTTATGAGGACTAAGTCAGAATAAAAGGGACACGGGTGGCACTGTGGTCTAAACCACTGAGCCTCTTGGGCTTGCCGATTAGAAGGTCAGCGGTTCGAATCCCCGTGACGGGGTGAACTCCCATTGATTGCTCTGTCCCAGCTTCTGCCAACCTAGCAGTTCGAAAGCAGACCAAAAAGTGCAAGGAGATAAATAGGTACTGCTCCGGCGGGAAGGTAAACACCATTTCCGTGTGCTGCTCTGGTTTCGGTGTTCTGTTGCGCCAGAAGTGGCTTAGTCATGCTGGCCACATGACCCGGAAAAACTGCGGACAAACACTGGCTCCCTCAGCCTGTAAAGCGAGATGAGTGCCGCAACCCCAGAGTCGTCTGTGACTAGACTTAACTGCCAGGGGTCCTTTACCTTTTAAAACCAGAATAGAGGAAAATATATGTTACTAAACAGAGAGGTACTGCCAGTACCCAAAGTGCTCTTATTGAGTAAATGCTAATGCTTAATCAATTATACTTAGGATTTTGTATTTACGCTGAGTGACTCCTATCTGATATATGGCGATGATATATATAGAAGAGTTTGCTGCTTTTTGGTTGCCCACTTACTGGGGAGTAAACCCTATTAAGAATCAGTGAACTGTTGTGTTGGACTAGGACCTGAGAGGCCAAGGTTCAAATTGTCACTGAGCCTTTCAGCCTAACCTACCTCCCAGGGTTGTTGTGGGAATAACATACAGAGGAGGAAAACTATGTACACCACCTTGAATTCCTTGCAGGAAAAGTAGGATATAAGTGCAATCAATCAATCAATCAGTTGAACTCCATAGGATTTATGTCTGAATAGGATCACATTGTTCATGTGGGAAACGGTTCTTGAATAAATGTTTCACCATACTTCCACTTATTGGTTCAAATGATTTTACATGAATTAATTTAAATGTCATTGAGCTGTATGGGATAAGAGACCTAATATGTAGTGGCCATCAAAACCTTTGCAGGCATTGAGCTAATGGAATGCCTAATGTGAAATTAGTAATTAATGAGTACTTCTGAAAATTTGAAAGAGATGTTCTATGCATAGATATTGCATTAAATTAATTGTTCCTAACAAAAATGACTGTTCCGTTTTTCTGGTTTCCCACTAGAAGCTGTTTGCTGAAGTTCATTAGGGCGTTGTTCTGTAAGACAAGATTAATTACCCTTGGACTAATTGTTTCCTAATTGATTCCCGAAACGACACATTATTGATCATTTGGTTCTGCTTTTCTTTGTTTGTGTATCATTATTCTTAAACGTAAGGAATAAAAAACCCTAATGAGTACATTTGTGATTATGTTGTTGATGACTTGAGAGAGAAAGAAAAGGAGAGAGGAAAGAACCCATTTCTCCTCTTCTTTCTTCTCTGAATTAAGTTAAATTTAAATTTAAATAGAAAAAAATTGTAAAAACTGACTCTTTGGGGTGCACGCAACAATAAAGATTAGCACTCATTAGAGAGCTAATAGGTCTAAATTGTTCACAAGGAAAGTAACACAATTGCCTCCAGAAACTTTTGCCCTTTGGCATTGTTTGAGTTTCCTTGCCAAGTTGCCAATTGCTTGGCAGCCTGAAACCAGCTTGGATTTTCCTAAGCACAGATAAGATCTCAAGGCTATTATACCATCACAATCAATGCATTCATTATTATATCTTTGCCATCAGGCTGAATGAACAGTTTTACTTAATGCACTTCATATTCATATGAGTGGTGAAGTTTCAAAGGCTATGTTCTGAGCCAAGAAGTAGGTTCATTACCAGTCCTTGGAAACTGCAGAAGGGAATAATGCTGTGGTACTAAAATCCTGTTTGTGGGCTTCCCATGGGCATCTGTTTGGCCACTGTGAAGACAGGATGTTGGACTAGATGAGCCTAATCCAGCAAGCTCTAATTTTCATTGATGTGTGCCCTTGGAAAGTAGATGGCAGGCAGAAATTTGGAAAATCTCCTGGATTTTCTTCCTTTTTCATAATGCTAGCATTTGATCATCCAGGGAAACTGATTTTTCTGATACTACTCGCACAGAGGGACGTGGGTGGCACTGTGGGTTAAACCACAAAGCCTAGGGCTTGCTGATCAGAAGGTCGGCGGTTCGAATACCCGCGACGGGGTGAGCTCCCGTTGTTCGGTCCCTGCTCCTGCTAACCTAGCAGTTTGAACGCACGTCAAAGTGCAAGTAGATAAATAGCCGGCATACAGCGGGAAGGTAAACGGTGTTTCCGTGCGCTGCTCTGGTTCGCCAGAAGTGGCTTAGTCATGCTGGCTACATGACCCGGAAGCTGTACGCCGGCTCCCTCGGCCAATAAAGCAAGATGAGCACCGCAACCCCAGAGTCAGTCACAACTGGATCTAATGGTCAGGGTCCCTTTACCTTTACTCACACAGAAATGGAAGCAACATGAAATACCCACAGTTGAAGAATGGCAGCGAAAACCCGTGGAGTACGCAGAAATAACAAAACTGGACTGGAAAAATCAGAGAACAGGGTGATGAAGCATTCCAAAGAGACAGGATGAAATTGACAACATACATAGAAAAGAACTATACACAAATAAAGACACAAATAAAGAAATTAAGTACACATAGAATGTAAACATAACAAATGTGTAAATATAAAGAAAATACAGTGGTACCTCGGGTTAAGTACTTAATTCATTCCAGAGGTCCCTTCTTAACCTGAAACTGTTCTTAACCTGAAGCACTATTTCTGGGTTAGCAGAGTCTGTAACCTGAAGCGTATGTAACCCGAGGTACCACTGTATAGAGAAACCAGAAGAAGAAGGAGGGAAGTACAAACTTGTTTAGAGTTAAAGTATTAAGGTTAAAAGGAATAAGGTAT